TACAAGGATATAATCAACAGATAAGTTAAATTCACGACCTTTTTTCTTATCTTGATCTATATATCTTACGAGTTTTCCAGAAATAAATGGTTTTAGAGATCGCTCAATTGCTTTCTTATTTTTTGCTTCCTCAATCTTAGGAGGTAATGGAGGACCTTCTATCTGAATTAGCTGACTCAAATATTCTACGTGACCAACTGCTAAATAAATTAGATTATCCTACGCCAAATGTTCATCGATAACCCAAACTCGTTGTGGTGCTTCAAGCGTCATCCCTTGACTAGTATGCATAGTCATAGCATATCCCAAATCCCAATCAAGTATTTTTTCTTTAGTTAATAACAGAGTTAGTGCTAAAGCACATATATCTTTTATAAACTTTTCAGGAAGCATATTCAATGGTAAATGTACTATATCATTTTTTACTAGTTCTTGTTTCTCAGATGAACCAGGAATTGAAACGAGGCAGTTTTGGTTACGTCTATCTCTTGGCCTATATATTAGTGAAACCGGTAGATCTGAATATTTAATATGATGGAGTTCAAGGTATTTTTGTGATGCAATTCTTCGAGATAGGTGATGTGCTGATAATATACGATCTGAGGGAGTTCATTCCTTTTCGAGACATTTCCATTTTTCTATAGTTGGGAGAATTCCTTGAAATAATTTTAATTGTATTCGATTATTTTTTCGACGCATAGCTTTTTTAAATTCACGTAACTTAGGACATTTTGCATGATAATCAGTTAAAACTTCTTCGTAATAATCAGCATGCTCTTTTAACCAATTATGTGGCATTTCTCCGAAGAATGGTGGAGGTTGTGCATCGTCACCACAACAAATTATCTGACATTTATGTTCTAATAAATAATTAATGAACATTTCAAGAATATACTTAGGAACTGTACATACCTCATCCCAAATAACAACTTGTGGAAATTTTTTCTCTCCCATGCGTTCAGGTGTCCACTCTTCCACTTTATTCCATCTGAAGAAACTATGCCAAGTTTGAGCTTTTACATTACGTTTTTCTTGAAAATCTTTAGCTAATGCATTTGTATAAGTAAATACAACCATGTTTATATTTTTGAAAATTCGAATTGCACGCATTGTTTTTCCTGAACCACCATCTCCATTAAGATATAATTTCTGACATCTTGTAATAGGATCATGAATCGAGGGTGCTGTACTTTCAGGAATATTTTTGATCGATTCCCAATACCTATTCTTTGGCCAGTATATAATATTAGTAACTGGTTCATATATTTTTTCACCTTTGTCACGCCATTGACTAGGTTGAATTTCTCGGATTTCTTGTTTTTCTGGTTGATGTGAAAGAACATAGAAGTCTGGTCTATAAAACTATTCTGCAAAGCAAAATTTGCAAATAAATGGTTTATGTCTTTTACAGTCATATTTTACTAGAGGCGTTTTGGTTTTTTGGAACTCTTTAATCCATTTTGCATATTCAGATTTTGAAATAAAGAATTCTTCTGGATCAGTACACATTGCACAAAAAGGATAGTGTGAATATAAATTTGGATCTGATTTTATCTCAACTTGCTTGAAGAATACCGGTATATTTTCGATCTTATATAAAGCCTCTTTTCGTATATATATAGAATCTGTAGCAATCTTTACTACTTCATTAGGATCAAATCTCTGAAACATCTCTAACAAATTAATATGCGCATATGCTAACATTGAGGCCCGCAAATATGTATATTGAGGTTGATGTCCCTCGTAATATGTAAATATGAATCCGAGTGGACATTTTTCTCTTCTAGCAAAAGTTCCAGCATCAGTACAATCTTTGATCAAGAAATCAAGAAATCAAGCTCACCTTTATCTGTTACAAGTCAATGAGTAAAGCGTTTTTCATCAATCTTGCCATCTTGTGTAAACTTACCTATAATTGCACAACTAATATCTCGATTTCTAGATAGCCATACTTTGGTCTGTTTAGTAAGA